ACACAGTCTCAGAACCCAATGACTCCCACTGCACAGTGTATGAGCAGAGACCGAGTGTAATGCTCTGCTCTGCACATCTGAAGAGATGTCACATGATCTGCCCTGTGGCTGGAGAGTCTCCCCCAGGATCCTAACCCTTAATCACAAATTTTGAGTAGAGACTGGACCTGACCTTCAGCAGTGAGGGCAGTGGTGGGATAGATAGGCTTAGAACTATAGTTAGGAATTTAGAGTGTGAACCTTCTGTGATGACCTTCAGCATAACAAAACATAACATTTGTTATACTAACTGTATGTTAGTATACTAACTACCTCCTTGATGTCTGGAACTCACTCTGTAGACCAGGCTAGCCTCAAACTCAGAGATCTGCCTGCCTCTGCCTCCCAAGTGCTGGGATTAAAGGTGTTTGCCACCACACCCAGTCTTATGTGATAAAATTGTTTTTCTTTTTTTCTCCCCCCCCCCCCCCCCATTAGGGTTTCTCTGTATAGCCTTGGCTGTCCTGGAACTAGCTCTGTAGACAAGGCTGGCCTCAAACTCAGAGATCTACCTGCCTCTGCCTCCTGAATGCTGGGATTAAAGATGGTAACCAGGCTAGGCAGTAATTTTAAAATTAAAATACAAATGAGGCAGATTATGGTGGTGCGTACCTTTGATTTCAGCACTCAGGAGGCAGATTTCTGTGAGTTTGAGGCTAGCCTGATCTATGTAGTGAGTTCTAGGACAATCAGGGCTATGTAGAAATCAATCAATCAAACAATCTAATTAAAAGAAAAATGGCAGGCCAGGAGGTGGTGGCACACATCTTTGATACCAGTGCTTGGGAGGCAGAGGCAGGCAGATCTCTGAGTTCAAAGCCAGCCTGATCTACAGAGTGAGTTTCAGAACAGTAAGGACTACACAGAGAAACCCTATCTCAAACAACAACAACAAATAATAGAACATCAGCCCATCCACCCCCCCCCCCAAAAAAAAAAAAAAAAAAAAAAAAAAACACCCCCCCCCCCCCCCCCCCCAAAAAAAAAAAAAAAGAAAAAAAGCAGTGGCCACCCCTGTGTTCATGTCTATAAACCAGAAGCTAGGGACAAGGGAGGAGAAGAGCCACAAATCTGAAGCCAACCTGAGCCTGTCGTAAAATAACCAAAAAGAAATGAAAGAAAGAAAGCTGAGGGAGAAAAAAGAAGAGAAACAGGATTAGGAGGAAAGAAGGAGGGAGAAAGAGAGAGGAAAGGAATAAGGAGAGTAGAGAGGAAGAAAGGAGCCTCGCATGATACTCGGAATCCCAGCTCTGGAGGCTGAGGCAACAGGATCAGGCAAGCTTCAGCTACATAGTGAGTTCAAAGTTAGCCCGATAACCATGAAACCCTGACTCGAAAACAGCAGGACATGGTGGCACGTCCCTTTAATCCTAAGCAGATCTTTGTGAATTCAAGGCCAGCCTGATCTACATAGTGAGTTCTGGGACAGCCAAGACTACATCAAGAGACCTAGTCTCACCACCACCACCACCACCCCAAAGAAAAAGAAAGGAAGGAAAGGAGCAACTGAATGAAGCAAAAGGAAAATGTTCTGAGCATTTGCATGTTTTTTTTCCCTTTTATTCCCTAAACAATGCAGTGTAACAAATTCTAATCACACCGAGTATCATCATCAGTAATAGAGAGGTGTTTTAACTAGGCAGGAGGCCCTGTCTGGGGAATACTTGAACACTATGCCCTTTTCTGTAAGGCACTGGAGCATCCACCATGGTCCTCCAGGCCCTCCGTGCATACATGCACAAATGACTACTCCACAGCGAGGCCTGTCATGAATCTCACAGTGGCTCACTGAAGTGGGGTACTGCAACTCCCACTTTCAGGGAGTCTGGCTGAATCCTAAGTAAGCATGGCTATCTCAGCCAAAGCCTGTGGGTGATCAAGTCAGAAACCTGACACACTAGGTTTTCTGACTCCACACTTACTCAGGCCAAAGTTCTAGTTAAGTCATCTGGCTCTGTCCAGTCCAGGATAAGCATGGGGCAGTCATAGAAAAGGAAGTCACCCTGGGGGCTGGGTTGGGACCCTAGGTGTGTGTGGGGTGGAGCAGCTGACTCAGATCCCACAAATCTAAGTGGGACTCTGTGGCTCCGGCAGATCAGATCTGAAGCAGCAAGGCTGAGACAGACCAGTCTAGATTTAGGACATTGCTGCACTCCAGGGAGGGCCGCCCAGGCCCTTGTTGTAAGCCTGTGAAGGGGCCTGACACATCTGTGGCCCAGAACAAGGCTGACTATAAAGAACTCCTGCACCTGAGTGCCTTTGAGAGGTTCCCATGGCAACAGCTAGCTAGTCCGTGGTCTGTCCTTGGACCAGCAGAGCAGACTAGGAGCTGCTCTCAAACGTATTTAGTACTCACCCTGTCAGGAGCTAATAGTAACAGACAGGACCAGAGGTGACTCACTCCACTCAAATTGCCATTCCATCACAGGTGGAAGATGGAGGGAACATAGAGAGAGGCAGGCATAGGTGGTAAAGGCTGGGTTGAGAGCATGTGGGGAGCCTGAAGAGGCAATAAGAACAGAAGAGAAAGCAGGAACAGAAGGGAAAAATGACAGGTTATGGCCCCTGGGAAAGCAGTTTGGGGGACTGGCTAAAGGAAAGATGTTTTCCACTTAAAAGTAGAAAGACAGTGCACAACTGTAGTCCCAGCACCTCCAGCAGCAGAGGCAGGAGGACTGAAAGTCTACAGCCAGCCAGGGATTTTATAGCAATACCCTGTCCCCAAATAAAAATGGCAAAAGAGGTACTTCTCGGTGAAATGCCATTGCCCACCACACAGGGAGCTCTGGGTCCTACTTCAAAGGGAAGAGAAGGGGGGGAAGGGGAGGAGAAGACAGCACAGAAGAGAGAGGAGTGGGTGAGAGGAGGAACAGATGGCACTGCCTTTAGCCCTTCTTAACACTTAATCCCATACACTGACCACAGTCAGAGGCACTCTGTGGGTTGGGGGTGACAGAGAGAGGGGCCTCAGAGCCATGGTGGGTGTGAGGATCTGCAACCACCTGGCTCCCTGGTCTTCCCCAGCATGCTCCTTGGGTTAATGGCTCTCCTTTCTTCCTAACTTGGCTGATCCAGATCCTGAGTTCTGTTTACCAAGTCCTGAGTGTGTAGGAAAAGGGAGGACAGGGAGGGGTTCCCAGACGCCAAAATTTGTTATTTAACAGAAATGAGCCCTTGACATGGAAACCAGAAGCCAGAGAGCTAATACCAGTGCCTTCTGGGCAACCAAGGCAAGTCTGTGTATCCCCAGCTCCAGGCCCAGCACCCTGATTAGACATGGCCATCCTGCCTGTCTCTGGCCGTGAGCTCTCTCCCAGCTGCCAGGGTCCCCTCAGCTGGTTAGGCAGGACTGTCTTTTAACGCCCACAGCAGGTGAGCAGCATAAGCAGGGTGAACCTGGCTTCCTTCTGAGGGACAGTGGTCCAGAGAGACATGGAATGCCATTCTAGAAACAGATGACTCCTTTCTGAAGGCCCAGCCTACATCACTGATCTGTGTAAAGTCATGATCCCTAAGTCTAACCAGAGCTCCCGCTGAAGCAGATTCTATACATATTAAAAAGTCTATATGCCTAGGATCTCACTGGTTCTGAAACTGGTTCTCAGTGGTTCTTTTCAAAAAGAAATGTGGCTGGCTGTTTTGTTTGTATGTATGTTGCACCTGTGCTCAGGAGGCCAGAAGACAGCTTTGAATCCCTGAGGACTGGAAGTACAGGTATTTTTGGGTCATCATGTGGGTGCTGGAAATCAAAACTGGGTCCTCTGGAAGAGAAGCTTGGGATCTCAACTGCTGAGCCATCCCTCCAGCCCCACACAATAGATCTTACAAATGTTTGTGAAATGAGCCACCCTTGTACCATTTCCACCTGTCTTGTCTAGCACCAGAATCAAAGAAGCCAGTGCACTTTAAACAGTAGCATAAAAGGACTGCTAAATAACACAGAAATAATCACTGTGCCTCTCTAGAGCCTATAGTCGCTCCATAACTGACCTGGCCCGAGTTGTCACTGCCCTCTGCACACACTGGGAGATTTCCAGGGGTAGTCTATAAGCCCAGTGTGCTGCCAACGCCACAGAGATTAGAACTCAGGAGGGCTCCCTAAAGAATAGCCAGGGGGATTCGGGGACTTCTTGAGAGCTGGTCAGTGAGTGGGTAAGGGGTTTGAGGTGTGGAGTGGTGACCAGGGGCAGGAGGGGGGAATTCTGGAAGACACGTGAAACCAGAGTGCCACCTAGTGGCTTCCTCACCTCTGCAGACCCAGGCACAAGGCTAGGGTGTTCCCCGCCCCCACAGTGGTGCCCCAAAGAAGGGAACCACACCTGTGTGGCAAAAGCAGGATGTTGCTCCCTTGCGTTATTTACTCTGTTCCCCAACCCAGCAGTCCCCTTTCTAAAGATAGAAACACCAAGTGTGAAGGATGACCTGGACTGAGGCCACCCAGCCTGGACTGGGGCAATCATGAGGCAATTGGTGGCTGGGCTCAAGCCTAGGCCCCCTGGGAAAGGTGGGTGAGTGGAGGGAAAGAGCCTGCCGGGTGGGAGGGCTGAGCGCAGTGTCTTCCTATTCACTGCAGTGGGAACTACCAGGCGTCCCCTGCACTTAGAGACAGAGCCCTACAGTGATCCACAGTTCAGGTGGGTAGGCGAAAGCCACAACAGAAGCTTCATGAAAAGAGGGTGGTCATGCTTGGGGATGGCTGCCACCAAAGCCAACGAAACGCCAGGGCAAGGCTGGGGCCAAGTCCACCCAGCAGTTCCAGGGTGGCTGTAGGACCTCGAGATGGCAGGGTGGCAGGCTCTGCTGTGGCCCTGTGACCCACACAAAGGAGGTACAGCTCTCAGGCTTCAAATAAGAATACTCTCTAGCAGCCACCCCCCGACCCTGCCACACACACACACCAGGCCCCTACACACTGCTTAGTTCCCAGGACCTTTAGCATTTGCATAGATTTGAATAGACAGTTCAGTAGAGCCATTTATGGCCTTTTTCTAGCAAAAGTGGTACCAGTACAGGGCCAAGAACTTTGCTTTCTTCTGGGAAGGACATTCAAGGGTACTGAAGAGCCAAGAGGGACACGGTGGAGAGTGAGAGCATAGGATCTAGGGTCACGTAATCCCAGGGATCTTCAGCTGGCTGCATGTCAAGGCCCATTGTTGCCAAAGGGCCAGGGCTCAGCCATGGTGGTAGTGGTGGGGATGGCGGCTGTGCTCTTCCCTAGGGCCCACAACTCTGGGATTCCCAGAGTGCTTCTCCTTCTTCCTTGACCTGTGGGGAGATGGAGTGAAGCAGGAAAGGGCCTTTAAGAAACAATACCATGACTGAGATGAGGAACCTTAGGAGAAGGAGCCCTGTTCCTCTGGTGGAAGCCAACTCAGGCAGCACCAAGCATGGGGGACCTGAACTCCAGGATGAATCCACTGGGGGAGGTGAAAAGGGGTCCTCCAGGTACAGGTGAGGTGGGGAAATGGGGCTTCTCAAAATGGGACCCCTCGTGTAAAGACAAGAAATATACCCAGAAGCCTTCTCTAAGGTCTGGGTACCAGAAATTAAGAGGAGGACTCAAGCTCTTCTATTCAGGACTCAATGCCTTCAACCTCCTCCCAGCTTTATCCTCAAGATTCCCACCTTTTTTTCAGTGCCTTGTCTCCAAAGAAGTGGCTGAAGACAAAGTCCTCAAAGTCATCCACTTCATCGTCATCACCGGTCTGTTTTAGTGCCACCTCCTCCAGGCTGTCCTCTAGGGCATCCACAAAATCCCGGAAGCGAAGGCAGTCATGCCTGAAGATGCCATCTTCTCCGAAATAAGCAGGTGACAAGGGCAGCTCTTTGGTCAGCTGCCCCGCCCAGGATAGCTGCGCCAAGTATGTTCTCAGCACAGAGGCCAGCTCCTGCTGTCTCACAGGGGCCAGCTCCACACCAAAGAGGGCCAGGCCCTCCTGCCGGGCACAGTCAGCCACACCTGAGCAGCCCTGAGGGGGCCTGTACTTGCGTCTCAGAAGCTCCTCCCAGGAGGACAGGGCCTCAGGGCTATTGCCTTCCCCCCAAGAATGCTTCTGTCTTTCTCCAGAGCGGGGGTTCCCACTCTTCCTAGGGTGTGCCTTGGGGTCCTGTCGCTTGCCATCCTTTCTGTTCCCATATTCTCCCCTTGGCTTGTCTTCCTTCCACCCACCTGCTGATTCCCTGCCCTCATCCCTCCAGTTTTTCTTCCTCTCCCGGCCTGCCTCCTCCTTCCTATACTTCCAGTACTCGGCCTTCTGGTCCCTGTGCCCACCATGCCTCTTCTCCTTTCCACTCCACTCCCTGGAATTCTGGAAGTGGGGCTTTTGGTGCCAGGCCTCTGAGTTATTGGAGGCTATGCCAGTGTTATGACCCCAATTCTCCAGGCCCTGCAATGTCTGGGCCAACACGTGACCAAGTTCAGCCAGGCCAGCATGAGCTGGGGCTCCTTGGCCAACATCTTGCAAGGCCCTCTGCAGGTCACGGTGCATAGAGCCCAGCACCTGCCCATGCCTCTGCAGCTCCTGCCTTAGGGCCTGGGCCTCTGCCTCTAGCTGCCTTTGCTGCTCTAATAAGCTGGAGTCAGGCTCCTGACCACGGTGGCCTTGATTGTTGGTGGCCTTGTCAATCTGTGGGCCTCCACCCCAGCTGAGACACACACCATCTACGCCCTGGACACAGTTAGCCTCTAGCCCCTGGAGTTGGGCCCTGAGCTGCTGCAGTTCTGACTCTAGGGCCTGGTGGGAGGTCTTGCCCTGCTGCAAGGCCTTACGGAGCTGGGCATTCTCCTCCTCCAGCCCTTTGGGCTGATGCAACAGACTCTGAAGCTCTTCTTTCTGAGCCTAGAATGTAGTTAGGAACAGAAGAAAGCAAGAATCCTTGTCAGGGTGGGTATAATACTGTTTACCCCAATTCTATTCTATTAGAGTGGGCAGGGGCTGGTTAGGTAGTTCTGTTGGTAGAGATCCTGCTTATTATATGCAAGACCCAGGGTGTGAGCCCCTGTGCTACTTGGACAGCTAGAAGCATTCCTAATCTGAGGCAGTTCCTGAGAGGGTCAAATTCAGTCCAGCATCTATGTCCTTACACTAACACATACTTTTTTTTTCTTTTCTTTCTTTCTTTTTTTTTTTTTTTTTTTTTTTTTTGAGACATTGTTTCTATGTGTAGCCTTGGCTGTCCTGGACTCACTTTGTAGACCAGACTGGCCCCAAACTCACAGAGATATGCCTGTCTCTGCCTCTGCTAGGATTACAGGCGTGGGCCACTGTGCCCAGCAAACACATAGTTTTTAGATCCACCATAGCCATTATCTAGCTCTCCTAGTTCCACTTTTCACCTCCTTCACCCAGAACAGACACCGTGCATTGATCCTAGCACTTGGCCTAAGTCTTGGCATGTTCTTCAAATGCTCCAGGAAGATCACACCAGTTAACCAAAGGTGACCAGCCACATAAAACAGGTACACCATCCCTGGAATAGTCCTTAGCATGAGGAACAGAAACAGACTAATAAGATAACCTGACTACAGTAGCAAAGGGCCGAGGCTCCAGGGGCAGGTGAATAGGGAAAATTCTTTCTGGAGGAGCCCACTAGGAAATGCAGCTGGGTAAAGGTGGCCAGATGAACCACTCACTCTTGCTCAGCCTACCTGCAGCTGGGCCTGCAGCAGCCGGATATCCTGGTTCTCCTTGGCCAACTTGTCCAGAAGAAGCCCCATGCTCTGCAGGCTGGGGATACTGCCTGGTAGAACTGAGGCCTGTACCTGCTCCATCTCATCCTGAGGGCAGAAGAGCGGCTGCTTCATGTTCCCTTCCAGGCAGGGCACCTTTGCTCCTCCCCCCAAAACCTCCCCCTCACCTTTGGAAAACCCATACATACCTGCCTGTTCCCCACAGTATCAGCCAACTCAGCCCCTGGCCCAGTATCTGAAAGGACCTGCAGCTCTGCTTCTTCCATGGGCCCTGTGGGTAACTGAGCCTCTGAATCCAAGCCCATCACCCCTCTCCCAATCACCCCTCCTTCCCTGAACACACCCGTGGCTCACAGGCCTGTTGAGCTAAAGGGACAAACATCACCCTGAACAGTTGACAAATCCAACAACGGAGAAATCATGCAACTCTGAACACTTTACCTGAGACTCATTCCTCACACAAACCCACCCGACACAGAAAGCAAGCCGGGACCTCTCCAACTCACCAGTCTCAGGCTCCAACAGTGCACCTGAAGATGAAGACAGTTTGATGAGGACTCAGGAAAGCAAAAAGCCGTTAAGAGCAACAAGGCAGGGCTAAAGAACAGGCTGGAGGCCCAGCTGGAGTACTACTCACCAGAGAACAGGAGAATCCCCAGGCCCAGAAGAACCAGGGCTCCCAGGAGACACATGTTGAGGGAGATGCCCAGCTCTCCACCTCTACCCTCGCCCTTGGCCTGGTCCTCCACATCCACAGGTATCACAGGTTGGGATAGGATGGGCTCCTGGCCCCTCCGTCTCCGCAGACCTTCCACATCCACATCAGTGTCATCACCACTGCTGGAGCAGTGGAACTCTTTCCAAACTGAAGAAGGGAGCAGGACAGGGCACTGAGATGAGTATGGGCAAGTACAGGGAGATGGGGGAAAGGAGGAGGGCACAGGGAGCCCCTAGCCCTGACTTTGCAGAAGGCAAATGAAGACTGTTCACTTATGCCTAGGTACTAATGGACTGTCCCTGTCCAGTCAGCTATAAACATCTACAAACACAGGACCCCCTTCCATCCGACAATCCTCCTCCTTCCAAGGTGCCACCCTCCTGGGTCCCCTCTGAACTCCTTGGCCACTATGTTATTTTTGCTTTTCCCTGTCCTAAGGCTAATGATTTCCCTAAGACGACCTTTCCCTTTCTACAAAGTCATAATTCTCACCTACTCCATTGACCTCCCCTCTGTAGTCTTCCCAGTGCCCCAGGCTAGCCTATCTGAATATATGTCCTCTAGACATATTCTTCTGGGTCCTCACCCACCCCCCCAGCAAGGGGACATTCAACACACTACCTCCAAATTCATCTTTCTTAGTGTGTCCCCTGCCTCTGGTTCTGGTTCCAGCAGCACACTGCTGCCTCTGGTCAACCTCAGTCTTCCCTTTCCATCCCACATCAGACAGTTGAACAGTTCTCCACTTGATGGCCTCATGGTCCCTGCCTTAGGTCCCACCTCAGCCTGACTCCTGCAGATGCCCCCTTGATGGGCCCTTGGCCATCTTTGACAGAGATGGAGGGTGTGGGGAAGGGTGTCTCCTGTCACCTCTGCCTTGGACAGACATTGGGATTAGCCCCAATCTTCTGTTGATGCCAAAGCTTCAGAATGTTTCTCCTGACTTATTTATGCAGAAGACTCTTCTCAAATGACACCTCCAACTATCCCTACCTCTCTCTCCCCTACCTGTCTCCCTCCCACTCCTTCAGGAATTGTTGAGTTGCACCTCCTTTCTGCATCATCTTTGGCTCAGTCCAGTCAACTTCTTACAAAATCCCTCAGCCTCCCACCAATCCTCAGCATGGGTCCAGAGCCAAAACAAGGAAAGGACTCTGGAAATGAAGGTTATGTTCCAGAACAGTGGCTCTACACCTGTGGGTCACAACCCCTTTGGGGCTCGGTGACCCTTTCACAGGGATTACCTAAGCCCATCAGAAAACAGATAATTACACTAAAATTCATAACAGTAGCAAGATTACAGTTATGAAGTAGCAACAAAAATAAATTTTTAAGAGATTTATTTCTTTATTATGTATACCTTCTGTCTGCATGTTCACCTGCAGGCCAGAAGAGGGCACCAGATCTCATTATAGATGGCTGTGAGCCACCATGTGGTTGCTGGGAATTGAACTCAGGATCTTTGGAAGAGCAGCCAGTACTCTTAACCTCTGAGCCATCTCTCCAGGCCCCAACAAAAATAACTTCATAGTTGGGACCACCACAACGTGAGGACGTACTGAAGCACTGCAGCACTAGGAAGGTGGAGAGCCTCCCCTCTAGAAGCACACAAAGCGGAGGAGAGAGGATCAGCCAAGCAGGGGCTCTCACTAGAGCTACCTGTCTCTGAGCCTCACTGAGCCCTCAGGAGCGATAATGAGGAGAGGGCAAGAAGTGCCAAGTCCAGGGCCTGGGTCTCCTCACGTACTCAGTAGTGAAGCCTGCACCTTCTCCTACACTTCTATTTATTTTTAAGTTTTTGTGTGTTTATTTTATCAAATGTATGAATGTTTTGCCAGTGTGTATGTCTGTGCACCTTGTGTATGCTCATGGACATCAGAAGAGGGCACCAGATCCCCTGGAACTGGAGTTGCGAGCTGCCATGTGGGTGCTAGGAATTGAACCCAGGTCCTCTGGAAGGGCAGCCAGTGCTCTTAACTACTGAGCCATCCTTCTATCCACCTCCATACTTTCTAAAAGGAGGAAAACAAAAGGTAAGAAGAGCCCTGGGTGGGGGTGGGGGGGTGCTTTTGGACTAAAGAGATGGTTCAGCAGTTAAGAGCACTGGCTGTTCTTCCAGAGGTCCTTCAATTCCCAGCACCACATGATGGCTCACAACCATCTATAATGAGTTCTGGTGCCTTCTGCTGGCATGCAGGTGTACATACAGATAGAACATTCATATACATAAAAATAAGTAAATAAATGTTAAAAAAAAAAAAAAAAAAAGAAGAAGGGCCCTGACCTGCTTTGGGACTTGAGGGCAGGTTCTGTGGCTGGCTCTCACTCTCCAGGTCCTGTGTGTCTGGTCCCAGGCTTGTCACCACAGGTGTCTCCTGCAAATCTTCCTGGACCACTGTGTCTCCAGGGGGCTCCATCCCGTGACCATTACCTCCCAGAGTGCCCTGATGTAGACACTGCTATGAGAAGTGCCCTCCCTACATTCTTCCCAGCCCCAGGGAAGTACCTCACCTTGGCCTTAGTCATCTCTGGCAGGGCAGCACTTTCATTCTGGGAACTTTCTGTCTGGAAAAGCATCTCTGTGGTGGAAGAGAAAGCATAGGAAAACCCACTGCCCTGAACTGAACTTCAGTGCAAGCCCTCTAGCACCCACAGGCCCCAACTACTTCAGAGTGTGGCAACTTATAAAGCAAGACTACCAAACAAATACCTAGGTGATCACCCTTTCCCCAATTAAAAGGAAACCTCTAGAGATAGAGGATAGTTTATGCCCCACACTCCACGAGCTCCCATTACCTTCTCCATCCAAGGTTCCAATTAATTCTTTGTCACCTGCCTTGGAGGGGTCCCAAGTGATCTGGGAGGCTCCCTCAGATTCTGGGTCCATCCTGGGTTCTGGGCCCAGAGTCTCCACAGGCAGGTTCTAGCGGGAGGGAGATGAGTACTAAGACAGTTTGTCAGGACATCAGGACAAACCCAGGAGCAGAAATGTCCTGATGGGATCTGAAGGACTGGCTACACTCAGATACCGAAACCCACAACTCAAAAACTATGGCCCATTCCACTCCAGGGCTATACAAAGTGTTTATTCCAATGAGCAACTTTCTAACTTTCCTATCTACCCCAGAGGCCAGTTTTCTATGAAATCACAGCCTTAGCAAGGCTCTGGTAGCAAGGCATTTGCCCAGCAGTCCCTGAGGAACACCAAAGGTACCTCACGTCCCTGCCCCCTATCATCAGTGCTTCCCTCCCCATGAGCCAACAACCAGGCCCAGACCCAGACCCAGACCCAGGTAACAGTTATGTTCTCAGGACCAGCCCTGAGGCTGTTCTCTCTGCCCACCCACACATCCCTCTTCGGAGTTTTCTGGCCTTTCCCATTGGCCTACACTTCTGCTTGACAGACATCTCCCAGCAGTTGCTGACAGAGGCCCAACTACCCCCGGCCATAGTCTGTCCCCATGGTGCTGGCTCAAAGCCTGGCCCTTTAGCTCTGACTACTCAGCTTGGCCAGCTTTTCTCTGAATATAACCCCTTAGCAGACTGCCATCAGCTCACCCCACCTAGGGCTCTGCTCTTCCTCCAGGACTAATTCTTTGTTTCTCTCTGTCTCTGTCTCTCTGTCTCTCTCTCTCTCTCTCTCTCTCTGTGTGTGTGTGTGTGTGCAGGCACGCACAGTACCACAGGATGAGTGTGAAACTAAGAAGTCAATCTCAGCTAGGCTTTGCAGCACACTCTTGAATCTTGCACACAGAGGCAAAAGCAGATGGGTTTCTGTAAATTTCAGGTCAGCCTGATCTACATAGCAAGTTCCAAGGCAGGCAGGGCTACACAGCAGGAAAAGGGGGTGGGGGAAGTGGGGCTGGTGAGGATAACTACAGTACCAGCCCTTACCTTCCGCCTCTTTTGAGACATCTCTTTTTACTCTCCACTGTATTTACGGACTGGCTGGTACTCGGACTTGTGAAGAGCCTCCTGTTTCCTACTCCCAGCTCATCACAGGAGCACCACAACTTCAACCAAGCACTACCATATCCAGCGTTGGTAGGTTTGGGGATCTGAACTCAGGGTCTCCTGCTTATGTGGCAAGTGCCTTACCACTCTGCCATCTCCCCCAGCCCTCCGTAAATATATATATTTATGGAGAGAGAAAGAGAGAAAGTTTCTTCGTGTAGCCCTGGCTGTCCTGAAACTCACTATGTAGACCAAGCTGGCCTCAAACTCACAGAGATCCCTTTCTTCTGCTCCTGACAGCTGTGATTAAAGGCATGTATCACCATACCTGATTCAAGAATAATTTTTTACTTCAGTATATTTCTTTGCAATTTACAAATCACATTTTTCACAAGGCAAGGATCACAATCTTGATTTATAGTAGAGGATGGATAGGCAAAATACTTGGCCCAGGTCCTTAGCTGTCAGCAAAGACACCATGACAGGAGACCAGGACCATCTGAGCACAGAGCCTATCTCAATGCCTGCCAGTGAGCACTGGTCCTTGTGTTCTGCTCCAGGGTCACTGCTGAGGTCAACTCATCACCCCCAGCTGGGCTCCTGAAGGGCAGCTCAAACTCAACATGTCTCAATGGAGTTCTGTGGCCTCTCTAGCTACTGTTTATTTGTTAAATTATTGATACAAGGTCTCCTGTATCCCAAAACTTGCTATGTAGCCAAGGATAATCCTGAACTCCTGATCCTCCAGCTTCCATCTCCCAATTAGTGGGGGTCACAGCTTGCTTGAGCATGTCCAGTTCCTCCTAGCGGTTCTAAGAAAGACTCTGCAGTCACTTTGACACATCCCCATCACCCCTTTCTACTAGTCCCCAACCCACCAGGCTTTCTCTCTTCTGGTGGTATCAGGAGCCTTCTGGTTGCCTGCCCTACCACATGGAAGGCTGCAGGGGCTTCAGAAGCACTATCCCCACCTGCCACACAGAGACCCAGTCCCCTGCCAATGACACTGAGTGTTAGGCTACTCTCCAACTCTGCGGCCGTGCACTGTCTGCTCATCAGATGACACGTGTGCTGGCTAATTTTATGTCAACTTGACACAGGCTAGAATCATCTGAGAGGTGAAAACCCCAACTGGGAAAATGCCTTCACAAGATTGGGCTGTAGGCAGGCCTATAGAGCATTTTCTAAATTAGTGACTAATGTGGGAGAGCCCAGCCCATCATTGGTGGCGCCATCCCTAGACTGGTGGTCCTGGGTTCTGGAAGAAAGCAGGCTGAGAAGCCATGGAGAGCAAGCCATCAAGCAGCACCCCTCCATAGCCTCTGCATTAGTTCCTGCCTCCAGGTTCCTGCCCTGCTTGAATTTCTGTCCTGACTTCCCTCAGAGGCGGACTGTTACCTGAAGTGTAGGCTGAACTAAACCATTCGTCCTCAAGTTGCTTTAGTTATGGTGTTTCATCACAGCAGCAGTAACCCTAAGACAACACCCAATGGTGCCTCATCAGACCCTTCAAACCTCATCTGGGGCTGCTAGGCTCTAGCTTGCTGCATTTCAACATGGGAGAGCAGGTCTCCTTAAGATAGCCTTATCCTAAGACTCCTCAACATGGCTCTCCTTTGTCACCTCATGACCTCACTCTTGCTGCTCCTCCCTGCCATGGGAGCCTCATAAGAGCCAACAGGGGCTCTGCAATGACCATCAAGACCAAAAAAGCAGGACAGATCCAGAGAGCAGTGTGGGGAGCCAGACCAGCCTGAGACTTTCTCAGAGGTCCTGGAAAGGGCAAAGGGAAGTTCTGTTCTTGTCCATGAGCAGACCTGGTAAGGCTGGTCTAGAGCTGGGGCCAGACTCTTCCCCCTAGACTGAGGTTATCAGTTCTAAGGCAGCTGTGTCTCAAGTAGCCTATGTTCTTTGCCAACACTGTCTGATTTACCTCTCTGCTGACCTTGGCCATTTCCCCCTGTAAATAGTATATAAGATGCTGTATGTCATCAAGACTTCCTGGTCCCAGGTATTGTATTTGTCTTCTTTATTCTCCAACCCCTGGGACTCTCACTTAACACCTTGCTATTCTAGACCCTTATTCATGAAGGTTTAGATTCACCCCTGTAGGAATCCCCCCTCCCATGTAGTTCCCCCGGCCCATTTTTCCTACCTCAGAGCCAGCAAGTACCCAGCTATTATCTGAGTCTGCGCAGGAGGCCATAGTTGTGGAGGTCCAGGGCTGGTAAAGTGGCCACCTGTAGAGGAAAGCTCTCTTAAGAATGGGAGTTCCCAGGGCTGGAGAGATGGCTCAGAGTTTAAGAGCACTGGCTGCTCTGTCTAAAGTTTCTGAGTTCAATTCCTAACAGTCACATGGTGGCTCACAACCATTTATAATGAGATCTGGTGCCCTCTTCTGGTGTGCAGCTGTACATATAGGCAGAACACTGTATACATAATATATATACATATATTTTTTAAAGTGGAGTTCCCAGATGGGCCTAGTGGCCTACATTTTCAATCCCAGTAAATCTTTTGAGTTTGAGGCCAAATCAAGTTCCAGGATAGCCAGAGCAACACAGACAAACTTTGTCTCGAACAACCAACCAAAAAAAGAAGGAAGAAGGAAGAAAAAGAAGAAAAGAAGAGGAGGATGGGGGTTCCTTCAGGGGAGGTAGACAGCAGCAGCAGGGTTTTAGGTATCAAAAGCTGAGCAGCGGCCTCAAAACCCTAACCGGTCCCAGTCCTTCTCCTCTGGATCCCACAACTTTTACAGGCAGTATTTACCTTGCTAACAGCTACAGGGAAGCTGCCTCATCCAAGGATCCACCCACAGGGCCTGGGGAAATTGCACTGACCTTGAAAGGTAGGTCAAAGAGGCCAAAGGCTGAAAAGTCCAACCACCAGTTGTTCTGGCCAGGGAAGAGAAATCTCAAAAGCTGACTGACCGAAGAGAGAAGGAAATGACCTGGGTCCCTTTTGCCAATACCTGGGTCCTCCCACAGAGCCCAAAGAAAAAAAAACCCACCCACCCCGTTAAGGCCCAAGTGTCTCAGGACCCAACCACGAATTTGGTTTAGGGCAGTGGTTTCTTTTCCTTTTGTTTTTGTTTTTTTGAGACAGGTTTCTCTGTGTAGCCTTGGCTATCCTTTAACTCATTCTGTAGACCAAGCTGACCTTGAACTCACAGAGATCTGCCTGCCTCTGCCTCCTAGAGTGCTGGGATTACAGGCATTAGCCACCAAGCCTGGATTTAGGGTAGTGGTTTTAAACCTGTGGGTCACAACCCACAGGAGTCAAATTTCAGATATCCTGTATGTCAGATATTTACATTAGGATTCATAGTAGCAGCAAAATTATAGTCACAAAGTAGCAACAAAATAATTTTATGGTTGGGGTCACTACAACATGAGAAACTGCATTAAAGGGTCACAGCGTTAGGAAGGTTGAGAGCCACTGATTTAGGGCTCTCAGCACTGGCTGTAGGAGGCTCAGCCAAGACTGCCATGGAAGTGAATGGGACCAGACAAGGCAGGAGGCTTTCTAATACTGCAGGGCTCAGCAGTTCACCTGCATGTACATTTAGTCTCATTTTCACTCTCTCTGAACCTTTAAATTCTACAGAGTTTGATCTCAGGGATCTTGAAAATGACTGGAGAGAAGGGGGTTTGTGGCAATTACCATCCATAGATCACATTAAAATTTGCAAAAAGAAAAAGAGGGTGGGGTGGGGCAAAAACTGGAGCTCTGGTCCTGTCCCTTGCTGTTACAGGATATTTGATTAGTGTATGTAGAAAACCTAACTGTTAGTAAAAGAAAGCCTAAACAGATACTGCGTTTGTCAGATGCAGTTAGGTGTGTCTCTGAAAGCCTCCATAGATAAGGATGCAAAAGAATGGAAAGTTCCTGGTTATTTTAAGGCTTGGTGCTTGGGAGAGGTCTTGTGGTCTTTTCTCCACAACCCCAGGCAAAGTCAGCTGGATGGCTTGGAGCTACCCCACCATAAAGGTGAAATGGTTCCACCCCACTGACTTGGCTTGGAGGAGCCCCACCCCCCTCCCCTTGGCTCAGCCTGCTAATTGTGTAGGGGAGCAGCTAGAGACTTATTTGATAAGCTCTTTGATAGAGCTCTCTGTCTTCTTTGGCTTGGAAGAGACTCTTTGGAGGAGCTCCGGTTAAGAGACAGAGGTCCTCTCCCTGGGCTTTCAGGAACAACAGAGAAGCAGCTGGCAGGACACAGGAAAACAGAATTCTAGGAAAGGGAGCTAAGGAACCCTCTTGGGTTTGGAGGAGCTCAAGAGAAAGGTAGACTAGCTTGGTAGAATGACACAGACAGAGATTTCTAAAGAGCTAGTAGGTTAGTTTTAGAATAAGTAAATAAGTATTTTGTATATAGTTCGGAAAATAGTTACCTCACTGAGCTAGTAGGTTTTTACCTCAGTTTACACCTTCACTGTCCTTATTGCTATAAATATTAAACAGTTACACCTTGCTAATCGGCTTGGAGGGCACTTAGGGTTAAGGTATCACCCCACTTAAAATAAAAAAAAAAGCAAGGCTGCGCCCTCAGACTAGGGAGTTACAATCGGAACCAGGCAAGAGGATGGACTGATAGGCAGCTGACCCACAGAGTCCTAGACTGTGGTCATTCAAAGGCAGGTAAGCAACTGCTTCCGCAGTGGTAGAAAAGGTAGAATGTGGAATTTGACTGCACCAGCCAAGTCCCTATCTACTCCATCTGGGTTTAAGTCCTACACGGTTACTTTAAAAACTTCTGGGGCTCTTAAAGGGTCATGATTCAAGCCCATGACAGGTAAAGAACATTTAATGGCATCTTCCTCAGTGCTTATGTCTTCTAGACACTGGCACCCACACCACACAGTGTCAGAACGATTGCAATGTCTTCCCTATACCAAATCCCAAAGGACAACCTCCCCAGCCTCCTTCTAGTGATACACACACTGCCATCTTCAGCTTTTTGCTCTCAGCCCCTCCTCTCTCCTGACAGCTACTCATTCTTAGTTGCTATGTGTGACTGCTAACAGGTGGCGGCAGGAAGGAAGTAGCAGCAGCTTGAGCAAAAGTCCCTGTTTATCCCTGGCTGTTTACAGCCTGCTCAGGTCCTCCGGAACTAAGCACCATGGCAACCAGGGTGATGTCAGAGCCACGGTCTTCATGGAAACCAGCAATGGTATGGTATTTGGGTCAACAAGACAAACCTTCCAAAACCTAAGCAGGAAACTTGTTGGAACCCCTGCACTCAGGATCCCAAACCGTGATACCAAAAAAGCATCTCCGCCCTCCAAGGCCAGAACATCGATGCCTTATTAGGAAGCCCGGGTAAGAAATCATGCCGCTGCTTAGCTGCCACCTTCCCAGCTGTGTTTTCAGGGTTGTAACCTCTAAGAAGAAAACCCACTTCCCTAATCCCCGTTCTAACTCAGACGGGATTCAATAAAACATCTTGACAGCGTTGTCACTGACTTCTGTTTCAAAAAAAAAAAAAAAAAAGCTAAAGAGGGAGTACTCTGCACAAAACTGGGAAGTCTGGTAGGGTATCTACTTCATCTTCTCTAATGGCCTTCTCTGACCTTTAAAGGAACCACAAATTTCTGCTTCGGGATCCTCTGTCTCCCTCCTTCCCCGACCTTCGATTCTGTGTAGGCAGTGTGTGGGCGCCGGGATGCCCATTCCTTTTATACAGCTCTGCCCTCCTTTTTTATCTGGAGATAAAGTGGTGGGGGTCTGCGGGCCCATTCCCAGCCAGGGCTTTTTACCTGACCCAGCTCCGACTTCAGTCTTCAGCTTAACTTGTTGAACCTCCCCTGGTTTCCAGCCCAGGAAGAAAGAACGGTAATCACGTGGCTAGTGTTTGACCAGTGAAAAGTCGACTTCCCCGCCGTAGGGTGTGAGGAGGAACTTTTGACCAATAAAAGCTGGAATTGAGCGCCCCGAGAGGGAAGAGAAGATTGATAGGGTAACTACCATTTGGTTTCTCTTTTGGTGGGCAATTGTGATCCCCAGCAAACTAAATTTGGGGGAAGAGAACCTCCCCTCTTTTTACAATGTCTAGTGTCTGGTAGGAAGACCTAAAACTGAAAGGTGCTGTCTGATGAGCTTAGCAAGGACTAGGTGCCAAGCTGACCGCAGGATAGACAGAGACAGCTGTAGGATGGGGGATGGGGTCCAGTGCAGGTTATGAGTTTAGAAATAGCCTTCCTGCTACTCCTAGCCGCTCCAACGCAGACTAGGGATGCCACTACTTGGTAAATGAAGGGCAGCCAAGCATGGTGGTGTTTTGTCTTTAACCCAGCTCTGAGGAGGCAGAGGCAGAGGCCGGTGGAAAGGTGGATCTGAGTTCCAGATTAGCCAGCAGATCTACAAAGCAAGGGGTACATAGTGAGATCCTGACACACACAGCCAGTGGGATGTCTCAGCTGAGTAAAACATGCTTGCCCTTCAACACATCATAAACAGAAACAAGATTT